CAATAGTGATAATGGTCAAAGAAGAAAATCGAGAGGGGAGAGAGATAATTCTTTTATATTAATAATGATAATTATTAAGGGTGAAATAAAGCCCGACTTTTTGAACGAAGCTCTAAATTTGGTAAGTCGGTCTATGTTTAAGCTTAAAAACGATTCAAAAGGCCGAGCATTCGAACACAAACTCTACAAGTCGTATGCATGGGCCGTGCGCTAAGAATCAAGTCTCTAGATGGAGAATCAATGGGCTGATCCCTAAGAATCTGGTCTCATAGGCTGATCGACCAACCTTTGCGGTTGAGGTCTATTAGCCCTTAAGACTGTTAGATATGCTTTGGGTTTATTGGTGATTTAATCACATTTAAAATGGACAAGTTGAGCCTTAAATGTAGAGCCCCTCGAGCCCTTGTCCTAGGCTACCCAGTTCTCTCGATCTTTTGAAGACAAATAGTTGGGCTAGAAAACCTTAAATTTTCTCTCCTATAAAAATAGTGAAGAAAGTTTCATAAGAGTATGTTAGAAAATCCTAATTCTCGATACGTTTAACACACAAATCCAATTCTAACTTAAACATCAGAGTGTATTAGTAATGTACCACATCATTGTGTAATCTTTCTACTTTTTTCAAGTTTGATGGAATGATCTCTTTATTCAAGAAGATTGATTCTAGTAATTTGGTCGTTCTCTCGCCTACCCAAAATTTATCGGATATTTCTACAAGTTTATTATTAACTGAATTATGTATTGAGTTTTGCAGATATTATAGATTATTAAATTCCCTAAGGAGTTAGAGACTTGCCATGTTGAGAGAAAGCTCTCTAAGCCGTTTGTGTGGAATAATATTTCATTTGCTAAACATTACAAATAAATAATAGTAATCTTATAGCCTTATAAAGAAAATTCTTAAAGATGCATAAATTACCGATCAACCAAATTTGCACGAGATCTAACAAGTGAAAATCAATAATAAATAGAGAGGAAATGATAATAAAGGATTCAAACACAGGACTTCAAGACTTCTTACTTTGATACAATCTTAAATACGAATAAACCATCCATTAACCCAAAAGCTTAAGCAGATAAGTTAGGGATAAATTTAACTCTTATATAAATACCTCAAAAAAATGTAAAATACAAATTAAATCTAAAAAAAATACAAATTAAATCTAAAACACCAGTTAAACAACACTACTAAAACTAATGATCTAAATTAGTTAACTAAATTAAAAAAAACAATCTACCCCATATCATCCTATTAGCCTGAATTTGGGCAATGTGATATTTGTGTCTCAGAGTTCCACATCATTACATAGGTTAAATCGACATTTTCATAGTATTGTAAAAAATCGACAAAATATGGAAAGTATAAACAAAATATCACTAATATAGACATAATATTAATATTGATCATTTTTAACTTATCTAGAAATGGTGAAATGCTCCATTGTTAATTTAAATATTTTTTACAATTTTTTTATATTTGTAACATTTCTATAAATATCCATCGATATCGATATTTTATTAATATTTCTACCGACATTTCTATAAAATGGAGACCTCGACATTTTCATCAACATTTAATTTTAATATGTTTGCTTAATAATATTGCAAATGACTCACACACCACCACATTTGAGTACTATCTCGGTGAAATTCTTTTGTTGAGGCTTTAATCATACTGCAAATGAGTTTGAGCTGAGCTTAATTAATTTATAATTAACCATCATAAGTGGTTTATTGATCAAAAAAGATAAGGGTTAATTGAAAGGGAACGGGTTCAAACCTCATGATAGCCACCTACTTTAGGAATTCATTCCAGTGTTCCGCGGCACCAGACGATGTTGTAGGTTCAGGTAGTTGCCTCGTGAGATTAGTCGAGGTGTTGACAATTCTCAGATACTTTTGTCATAAAAAATGCAGTATAATCGAACATGAGCTAACCCGATAGGATCTAACTAGGTTTTTCTCTTTTCACATCAATTGAGCAAGTCACAACGTTTAATCTGATAGTAAAAGAAATATAAGTAAAACAGAAACGAACACTAGGAGATTATACTAGTTCACCTCTAGCTCGGGACTACGTCCAATATGCAAGTTCCACTATATTGGGAATAAACAATGGGCTTCACAACATTCTACAATCACTCTCTAGATGCTACAACAATAGCCACCCAACCGGAAAGCACTACAACGACAATAGGGTACTTAATTAGGACACAAAATGAAAAAAACCACACGATACTCAGAAGAACGAGTTGCCGATAATGCTTCACAACCTGAGAACTCGGTCTTCTAATTGCTCTATTGTACACTGCTCTATTGTCCCTCTAATTTTTGTGCCGTWAAAAACCTAAACCGAAAAAGAGGGTTTTACGGAAATCGTGGTAGCGTTTAGATGTTGTCCACGGCGTCTCAACACAACGACTTTTGTAGCGTTAAATGCTCGCACACGCCTCTCTTTTTTCTTCGAATTTGTGACAGTGTTGAGACACCAACGCTACCACTAGTGTCTCAATGCTGCGCTCTCGGCTGGCAAGCCTATGCAACATTCTTTCTTTCATTCTCTTTTCTTCCTCCACTATTTTGGTTCTACATCCCCAACAACTCCTGGCCATTTTTCTTTACGTGGTGTAGAAATGGCCACTAACTCAATTTTCCTAATATGTTAGTGTGGGTCCTGATGGCTTTTTAAAAAATTATATTTTGTTTACAAATGTGGAGAAATTTCCAAAATTTTTACATGAAATTTTGATTTTTTTTTTTAACAAAGCACATTAAAAATAACACATCAGAAGAAGAGTTGTAACCTAGTCCATCGTTACAATCCATAAAGGAAAATAGATGTCACAAAGGATAAAGAAATGATCAGAAATGAGACACTTGACTAATAAAATAGTTTACATGTTCGAAGAGGAATGTGAACAAATTTTATCCCACTAAACAACTCCTCTAAAGTCACAACTTCCTCAATCTCATTTAATAATGTCGGGGGAGCCTCTTCAATGGAGGTATCTTGACAATTATGGCACTCCTATTCACAATTGGGAGGGAAATAGTTGCTTCCAAAGTTACCATATTCTCCACTAAGGGTGTTCACAGGTTGAGTTTGGGGTATTTTTTGGATCAACCCGAATTTTTGGATTGGGATTTTGTGAGAACTGACGAGTTGAAAAACGACAACCCAACCCAAACCAACTCAATAAAATTCGGGTTAGGTCGGATTGTTCTTTTTTCTCTTCAAAATAAAAATAAAAAACAGAGAAAACAAAAAAACAAACAAACAGAGAACAAAAAAAAAACAAACATAGAAAAAAAAATAGAGAGCAAAAAAATATAAACGGGTCAGATTTCCCAAGTTTCCAAGACCCAATGGAATAGGACCAAGAACATAACAAGAACGAAGACCAAGCACTTGCAGATCAGGTTGAACCCCTTCGTGCCTCGTCTCAGCGAACAATCCCAACAATCCCTCACAATCCAAATCACCACTAGCACAGGTATTCATCATGGCGGTGACGAGAGATGGTGTGACGACGACGATAAATGATGCGGCAGCAACGACGGGAGATGGTGCGGCGGCGGGAGGAGAGAGTTCAAGCTTGATGGATAAAAATGGAGGAGAAGGTAGGGTTTGGTTGGAGGAGAGGAAGAGATTAGAAAAATGAGATTTCAAAAATGTGATAAAGGGGATGAAACCCTAATAGAAATAGATGGTTAAGATTAAATGGAAATGGATGGCTGAGATTGAATAAGGTTTTCATTAATAATAATAATTATTATTATTATATATGTAATATTACTAATATATATATTTAAAAAAAATAGAATGTCGAGTCGGGTCGGGTCAACTCGAAATTTTCAAGGGTTAACCCTAGACTCGACCCATCCCCGATCGGGTTGGGATTTTTCCAACCCAAACCAACCCAATCTTTAACCCAACCCAACCCTGGGGTTGGGTTGGTCGGATCGTCAAGTTTTTCGAACACCCCTATTCTCCACCATCTTAGATAAGGAAAGATTAGGCAAATTCCTCAAATCATGTTGGTCACGGATCTCAATACAATTAAGACTGGTAATTCCAAAACAGTGTTCGAGCTGATTGTTGCCGCACCTCCATCGTTACCCACCTTCTGCTCCGTCATCCTTGCCCCTGGACCATGGAAGTTCTCTGAACCAAAATGCAACAAAAATGAAGAGTCATCCCAAGAAATCGCAGACAAGTGCACCATTCAATTCTCTGCCTGATAACTCTTCAAAATACTCATATAACAAAACCACAGACCATACATAACAATGTTTCATTTGATTTTGTTAGCCGCAAAAACCCTATCAACATGCAATGGGGAGATCTTCGACACCTAGCCACCATCCGCTTCACAGAAACAGGTGAGGAAGAAGGATTCTTCCTAKAAATTGCCTCCACCATAGCAAGAGAGGTCCCTATTATATTTCGATCCATGCTACTTCTTGAAAAAACTACGGAATGGACACCCTTTGAAAAAACTCAATCGAAGAACTGAGATAAAACATACACCATTCATACGGAGGAGGGAAGAGGCCACTGGCCACCCTCCCCTCCTCACTTTTTGCTTTAACTCCTTTGAAAATACTCAATCTTCACCGAGAGAAAACCTCCAAACCGAAGAAAAAGAGTTTTGGTCCATTCCCAAACTAATTTTAAAAATATGAAAATTTGATTTGGTAGGTTGATTTTACAAAAGATTTATAGATATGGTTATTTTAATTTAGAGACCAAAACACATTTAAACCTGGCTAAATAGTGTCAATTTTCTTGGCAGGCATCAAAATTGAGACTTTTCGAAATCCCATGGTTAGAAAATTTTAAACTTTAGGACCAAACTAACCCTTAGGTCAATTTTTAATTAAAAAAAAACAAAACCGTCAACTTGTATATAACTCAACTTGTATCTTTCACAAAAAGAGAAATTCGAATCTCAATACGTGGTTTGAATTAAAAATAAAACTATTATTTACTTGTTAAGTGATGATATAGAAGGAAAGTATTTAAAAACTAACAATTAGGGTACAAAAGCAATAAAGCTCATTGTTTTTAAAACCTCTCAAATCCCATTACATTCAAACTATCATTTTTATCCCCATCTATTGCATCTTTTTATTGGTTTACACTCATTCAATAGTAGAGGGAAAAAAAACAAAGATAAAGAACAAAAAATGGTAAAAACAATAATAATCACACAAATCTGTTAAATGGCTTCCTTCCAACCCCAGCAGGCAAGGAAACAGTAGAATCCACACTCAAATTGCCCGCAGATTGCAAGGATTGATTCTTGTCCAAAACCCTTTGAGAGCTTGAATCCTTGTTTGAGAACAAGTTGCCTTTGTTCCACTTGAAAGATCCCAACCCTTGTGTGAAAGGGAATGATATCCTCCTTTTCGACTCGCTGGTCGGGGTCACGACGACGAACCGCTCTTTCGGGGTGCTACT